CCAGATGAGCGCCAGCTGTGAAGCAATGCAAGCTGCTGTGGGGCCTTGGGCCTTCTTTTGGATGTTCTGGGTCTTTCTGACCCAGCTGCAGTTTATTAGGCAATTTTCAGATTGCAAAGGGACAGGCCTTTCATATGCAAAAGACTCTGCGCACAGCTTGGGTGGGCCAGGGTCTCATCGAATCAACAGGGCAGAGCAAACAGCTATGGCTGATCCTCAATCCTGCCCTAAGAGGCTCCGGGTCTCAGTGTCCTGCGGTAATCGCTGCAAGCACCTCTGAGAGAAAGCCGCCCTTGAGTTCTCCCCACTGTCAGACAGTCGAGTTTCTCCCCATATGAGTTTGGGTCCCCAGAGACTCACACGGAACTAGAGTTCAGGGCCTTTGGGAGCTTGTGTCTCCCGATTGAAAAAGACAACCGTTTCCTCAGTTGCCAGCCCTTTCCATGTGCGCCTCCGTACCTCTGCACTTTACTTCTGCACCTCCTCTGAGTCTCAGTGTGCTTTTCTCTTTCCTTCTAGTTGTATAATTTCCACTCAGCCAGCCTTCCTGTGGTTCTAGATGATATTCGTTTTGTCTTTTAGTTGTATTTTTGAAGTGGTTGTGCGAGGCAGCAATTTCCGGTGTTTACCTATGCTGCCATCTTGGTTCCTTCTCAGTAACAACAATATTAATATAAATTCTTCATAGTCGTTTTTAAAATATTACCTTGATTTCCCTGGCCAGTGTGGCTTGGTTGGACATCATCCTGTGCACTGAAAAGTTGCTGACTCAATTCTTGGTTAGGGCATTTTTAGAAAAATGTTACCATGATTTAGGAGTCATTAAATGTTGCATAAACAAATGTCAAAATCAAACTCCATAGAGTACTGTAGAGAGTCCTGGATTTGGACCAAATTACTGCTGCTGCATTTGCAAACCCAGCATAATGAACTGTCTCAGATAATATTGCAGGGTAGCATTCCCAGATTCAACACATGACCTATTGCAAGTCTTGTTGTAGTAAACCTGAGGGACACTAGAGAAAAGCTGCCTCCAAACATAGGTGGAAATTGAACTTAAATTGTAGCGGTTATTTCTGTAATACCATAAATGTACACATAAATGAGTCATTTAAGGAATATCCTTTCAGTTATTAACTTGGCATAAATACTAATCCCTGAAGATTAAGCTGAGCACTAATCACTTTCAGCATTTAAGGACCTTTATAACCCAAAATTTCTTATTTACATATGATAATTTCCCCAGTGGTAAGGTGAGTAGGGCTGGTCATTGCTATGTAAGCAATAATATAGGACAAGATTTGTTGTAACAAGGAATGGGTTTTCTTCTCTTCGTTCCCAATTTGAGCTTAATTAAAACTCCTCAGACCTTGGCTCTGTTTAACACCAGGGCAAAAAAGCTCTGAAGTGCTGACACCTCCTTCACTTCTGCCTGCTGGGTCAGCTCTTTAAGAGTCATGATTGTATAGCACATCCACAGTGGCCTGGCCACAGGTCCAGGACGGCAGGGTGCCTCAGAGCAAAGAAACAGAACACACCTCAGCAAGTATTTCAGCAATTTGCCTGACTTTAAAAAAAAAATCTTTATTGTTACAAGTATTACATATGTCCCCTCCCCCCCCTTGATCCCTTTTAGCCTTCCCACTCCCCTCCCCCCGAATGTCAGACTGCCAATTTTGGCCCAATCCCTGCAGGCGTGGCCGAGGGCCCCTACCGGTGCACAAATCCGTGCACGGGGCCTCTAGCATGCATATAAAATCTTTGGTTAATCTCCCCCTGCCCTCCCCTACCCCCGCTTTCCCACTGAGATTCATTAGTCTGTTCCATGTTTCTATGTCTCTGGATCTATTTTGTTCCAACAGTTTATTTTGTTCATTAGATTCCACATATGAGTGAGATGATGTGATACTTGTCTTTGCTTGATGTTTAAAATGCATCATGAAGACAGACTTTAATTTTTTAAGGCAATTCATGCAGATAGTTTTTAAATCAAATGTATCTACTACCAAATGAACATCTGCTGCCCCACTCCCTGCTCTCAATCCATTTTTTCTCTTTACCTCTTATTTGTAAATAATATTATAACTGCAGATCCAACTCAAAATAGTCCTATCTTGTTTAACGAGGTACTGAGATTTGCTCTGAAAAGCAACTCCGATCAAAACCACAAGTCACGTAGCCAAAGCATGGTCAGAGGAGAGAACTTTGACCTCCAACTGCACCCAGACCGAAGTCTCACCTCCGCCCCCCCCCGCCACACACACACACGCACACACACACAGCACCACACACGGCACCACACACAGCACCAAGGGGCCAAGACATAACCCAGAACTTAACTTGAACACTGTAACCCTTTCAGAAGCCAAGGGTTCATTGTCCAGGAAGAAATTGACAAGCATTGCAACGTGAGGATTACATGTCCATTGGAACTATGTTATCTTTATTTAAGAGCAATTATTTCTGAATTGATAGTATTCAAGTGAAAGAACTAGACATGTCATGAAAAAGGAAGGGAAATATCAACAAGATATGTCAACATTTTTTGTTTTGTGCTCTTTATGAATAAAAGCAATGGCGCGAGGCTTGTTCACCATTATGTCTGGTGAACGAACATGTGATGATCCTGCATCCGGCTCTGCTCCTGTTTCTCTGCAGTCCACTGCCACCGAGAGCTGGAGTGAGCCTAATAGCACATACATTGCACCGTGACTGTCTTTGGCTTAAAACCCTTAAGTGGACTTCCCATGGTACTGGGGATAAATTGAGACACTACACACCTAACAAACCCTTAGCACGTCTGGCCACTGCCTTCCCTTTCGGTTTCATCCATACCCTCTTTCCAGTGGCACATTCTCAACCACTTCCCAGTAAACTCTTGCTCAGCCTTTAGGCCCCAGCTTAAACAGTACTTCCTCATTCCCAGGACTCCTTCCTTGAGCCCAATCTAAAGTAAGTTCCTTTGGTATGTTTTCTTTCTTCTTTTATTTTTTTAGGTAAAATTCGTTTATACGTGGAATCTAAAATAGTCTCATAGAAGCAGAGAGGAGAATGATGGTTGCCAGGGCCTTAGGGGTCAGGGGAGGGGGAGAGGGAAAATGGGGAAGTGTTGATCAAAGGGCATAAACTTTCAGTTTTAAGATGAATAAGTTCTGGAGATGTAATATACAACATGGTGACTGTAGTTAATAATATTGTTTTGTGTACTTGAAATTTCCTAAGGGGCTAGATATTATGAGTTCTCACCAGAAATAACAAAGAAAAAGCAAGCAAGAAAGAAAATGGTAAATTAGCTTGATTGTGGTGATCCTTTCACAACCTAAACATATATTAAAAGAAGTTGTACACCTTAAACATATACAATTTTTACTTGATTATACTTGAAAAAAGTTGGGGAGGAAAGCTCGGAGCCTGAGACTCATACAGTTGTGTTTTGCTTTCTTTTTTTTCTCCCTTATTTCTTTTACATGTGCTTTCTTTAGCCATTGCAGAAATGTTATATTTTCCAATTGGAATATTCTAAACATTTTTATTGTGGTAAAATAAACATAACATAAAGTTTACTATTTTTTTTAATATATTTTATTGATTTTTTACAGACAGGAATAGAGAGAGATACAGAGTCAGAAACATCGATGAGAGAGAAACATCGATCAGCCGCCTCTTGCACATCTCCCACTGGGGATGTGCCCGCAACCCAGGTACATGCCCTTGACCGGAATCGAACCTGGGACCCTTCAGTCCGCAGGCCGACGCTCCATCCACTGAGCCAAACCGGTTTTGGCAAGTTTACTATTTTTAAGTGTTCAGTAACAATTAAATTCACATTGTTATGTAACCTTATCTCATTCATCTTCAGAACCTTTCATCATCCCAATCTAAATATATTTAAATATTAATATTTTACCTAAGAAATTTGTTCAAAAGTTAGAAGTAAAATATTGACCAACAATTAGGCTTTTTTAAAAAAGGAAAACCAATAAAATATTTTTTTCAATATAATTTGCTGAAGTTGCTGAATTTCCTGAGAAAAATTGCTTTTGAAACATCTTCTATGTTTATGAACTGATTTAAATGTCATTTTTTTGAGGGTCCAGAGAGATAAAAAGCATATAGATTTTGTGCATATCAATTAAAAAAACCTTCTATCCCAAGAACCAATAAACGAAGCTTTACAAGCATAGATTACCAGCCTCAGGCAATTTAGTTACTTGCTTTATGTGCACCTATTTGAACTGCAGTTGCTTTCACAGCACCACGTGTCCGTGTCAGAATCTCATAGGTAAGACTTAAAATCCGTTAGTAATGCCAGTCATTTTTGACTGGCATTGCTAGTTTCTGTTTCTCCTCCAGTTGACCTCACATCTCCATGAAGTTCTGCCTGGGTGCTGGGCTCTGCTGCCGGGGTTCAGTGCAGAGGTGGGGCTGGGTCACCAGGGGCTCCACCATGACAGCTCGTGACATCCCTGGCAAGGGATGGGCCCAGAGGGCCCAGTCCGACCAATCATAATCAGCTTCATATGGTTTTACTTTACGTCCTCCATTTGATAGAAACAGAATCACCAAAGTCAAAGGATTACTGGGCAGCAAAGGTGAATGAAGCAAACGGCTAATATCTGACACCATTTCCAAAGCAACTGCCTGGATAAGCTTTTAATAGAATTTCCCAGGTTACAACTCTGAAGATGTAGAAAGCAAGTTACCATGGAAACAAATCGTCTCTTTAAAGAGAGACAGGCTCCTCTCCTAGCTTGAGCTCTTTCCAGAGGGAGGAGGGGGGCGGGGGAAAAGAAAGGCCAAGGATCTGCAACTAGAACAATGAAGGAAGTTTTCTTCTCATAATTAAAATTGTACCAATGAAATTTTTTTGGAGGGTCAGCTCAAGACTATTTCATTTTGGGGCTGTCCTATTAAAAGAAACCTCGAGTCAGATATTTTGAGATACGTAAGCAAAATGACATTTTACTGATCATTTCTGTAAATTGTGTTCTTTGTTCAGTTAGTGACACATGCTGGTAACAAGTGAAACCCTCCAGCACATGACATTGAAGGCAAAGATGTCACTTCCCTTTGTCTTCTATTCCCAACACACCACCTGTGAGATGACATTCTGTGGGCTATTTTTCTCTGTCTCTGTCTATATTCTTTTAGTATATAATTAAAAGAATATAGATAAACAAAATAAACCAATTTTTAAAAAGGGCAAAGGACTTTAACAGCTATATCTCTAAAGAGATGTACAAATGACCAGCAGGCACAAGAAAAGATGCTCAACATCACTAATCATTAGTGAAATGAAAATCACAATGAGATACTACTTCACACCCATTAGGATGGCTATTCAATAAACTAGAGGCCTGATGCACGAAATTCATTGGGGGTGGGGGAGGTTCCCCTCAATCCAGCCTGCACCCTCTCTAATCGGGACCACTAACTCCTAACTGCTCACCTGCCTGCCTGCCTGATCTCCCCTAACTGCCTCTACCTGCCAACCTGATCACCCCTAACTGCCTCTGCCTGCCTGCCTGATCCCTCACCCACCTGCCAGCCTGGTCACCCCACGCAGCCTGCTTGTTCAGTCGTTTGGTCGTCCCTCACTAACCCCCCTGCTGGCCTGTTCGGTTGTCCGGTTTCAGATGTGATGGCCCCTGGCTCTTTTAGATAGATAGATAGATAATTAAGTATTGTTGAAGATGTGGAGAAATTGGACCCATTATGCACTGCTAGTGGGAATGTGTTATGGTACATACAGCATTACACAAAACATTATGGTATGTGTTCAATAAATTAAAAACAATTACCATTTGATCCAGCAATTTCATTTCTGGGTATATATCCAAAAGAATTGGAAACAGACTCAAGCAGATGTTTGCACACCCAGGTTTATGGCAACATTATTCACAATAGCTTAAAGGTGGAAGCAACCCCAGTGTCCATCGATGGTGAATGGATGAACAAAATGTGTGTACATGCAATGGAATATTATTCAGCCTTAAAAAATAAGGAAAATTCTGACAAGTGCTGCAACCTGGTTGAACCTATAAGACCTTATATTAAGTGATCTAAGCCAGTCATAAGAGGACAAATCTTGTGTGAATCCACTTATATGAAGTACCTAGAGTAGTCAAATTCACAGGGACAGAAAGTAGAAGCATGGTTTTGGGGGACTTGTGGGGAGGTGGGAGTGGAAAGTTAGTGTTAAATGGGTACAAATTTCAGTTTGGGAAGATGTAAACAGTTCTGGAGATAGATGGTGGTGGTGATTGTACAATAATGTGAATGTACTTTAATGCCATAGAATTGGTACACTTAAAATGTTTAATTACATATATATAATTAATAGATGTACAGGTTTGGAGTTGTTTGTATGCATAGATGTTTTTTACATTTAGATGTATGGAATTTTGTCTTGCTCTTGATTGTTTTTTAAAAGAGAATATGGTACACACACATTCTTCATGTAACAAACCTTAATGGCATGAAACAACCATTTAATTATGCTTAGAATTAGGGATTCTTTGGATCAGGAATTTGACATAGGCACAGAAGGGACAGCTGTCTCTGCTCCATGGTGTCTGAGGCTCCTCGGGAAGACTCGGAGGCTGGAGCTGGGATTACCTGGAGGCTTCTTCACTGAACGTGCCTGACAGTTGATGCTGGGTCCTCACTGGAGCTGTGGACCAGAACCTATGCGTGTGGGCTCACAATATGGGCTGCTCCTTTGAACTTCCTTGTAGCATGAAGTCGAATTAACAAAGAAACTCTAAGAGAGCAGAGCAGAAAAATACGGCAATTTTACAATCTAGCCTAAGAAGTCACATTGTGTCCTGTACTCATCTGGTGGAGGCCCTTACACAGGTCTGTCCCGGTTCAAGGGGAAGAGCTCACTGGGAGGAGGGTTAAGGTCCTTAGTTAGAGGCGCATCTTTGGAAAACAGCCATAATACACTCATTATTTTGCAATTTGCTTTCACAATATTTCATTGACATCCTTTAAAGTCAGTAAAAATGTCATTCTTCAATTTTTCTCATTTCTTTATAATTACAAAGTTACTTTAAATTCCAAAAGTAATATAAATATAACAACAACATTTGGAAAGCAAACAACAACAAAAAAACCTATCCACAATCTCCCTTCTTCAGACAATCACAGTAGAGTTTTTACTCCGCAATTTCCACGTAATGTACAGAGTTTTGTGTTTGTTTATTTCTCCTTAGCATATAAGCCCCAGATTCACATCTCAACAGTGTTACCTTGTTTACTTTTCTTGTGTGGACAAACCAACAGTAAATTATACCGCGATATAAAGTCCTCAGCTCAAAACTTTTGCTTAGCCTAATCCTACCTAAAACTCACTGGGGGAAATCACATCAAGGCTTCAAGTCCTCCCTCTTCATTCTCTAATGAACATAAAGCAGAGACTACACAGAGACTCTGGACAAGTAGCGTCGTGAGCGGGTTGTGCCTGATGCCGCAGCTGTGTACGGAGCAGCAGGTGGCTGTCCTGGGTGTGGAATGCTAGCCGGTGGACTTTTACTCTGCTTGGCTTTGGAGTTCCAACAAAATACATGGAACTAGCTTTTAAAGATCGGCAAGATCTTCCAAACACTGCTACAAACCATTGTTGGTTTTCATTGGCCACTGCGACATGAGCAAAATAATGACAGTGTGGTGAGTTTTTTATAAAGCTAAATGTATTCCATTTAAAAACTGTGTTTAACCTGAGTTCATCCCTTTGTTTTTCAATGTCAGCATTTATTTTCTTTTGTGACCTAATTTGACCGATTTTTATTCCTAATTAACAAAATAAAAAGCTGACAATTCTAACCTCAGTCATCCTTAAACTTAGTTTCAACTGATCTGTGACACACTGATCCAGTCCAAACTGCCTCCTTGTGAAGAGTCTTTGAGTTTGAGGTATGTTTGTCAAAGGGATTACATCCTGAGGCAGGAAAGAAAACTATTTGACATGAGAGGAGGATCCGAAACTGAATTCTGCATGTGACAGTCCAGCTATGTGAAATCGAGCGAGTCATTTATGCTTAGAGCTCTTACCTCAGCCATCGAATCCAGTCAATAATGCTGGCCTTCCCGACCCCCACCCCCCACACCTCGCCTTCCCGGAGGGGTGAAAGCTTAATTGTTGAAAGTGCGAGTTCTGTGTGGGAGCTGAGAGTCTCATTGTGCTGCGTCCACGTCCACAGAGCTCTCCCTCACAAAGGCTGCTCAGCAGGTCCTGTGATAGCTGGTGAAAAAAGTAAGGAGGGAAGCTAACACACCAAGTGTCTCCCTGGGAGTTCCTCATTTCAATGAGAAGAATATTCTCTAATTAAAATACCACTGCTGCAGATTTTTTTAAAAACAAATTGCCATCTAATTTCTCTTTGATCTGCTTTTTTCCACTTAGGTTGCAAGGTTTTACAGAATTTTCCCCAAACACTTTGAGTGTGCAGTAATTTCATTCCATTCTGATTAAACTTCAAAGGACAAAACACCGAGCCATTGGAACAAGCGAAGCCTTTGTTCCCTTCACTTATGCAGTGAGCATTTTGGGGTGTCTACAAAGTGCCTGACGTTGTGCTGGGTGTGAGATACAAAGATGAATAAATACATCTGAGGCCTTGCCCTCACTGAGTGCGGTGTTTCCAGGGCGTGAACGAGCCATAAGCAGAAACTGGAAAGCAATGTGGTGACAATAGACATGGCATCACACAGCCATTTCATATAGGGCCCAGTGGGAGCCAAGTGGTGGTTCTGAGCCGACACTTTAAAAAAGATAATTGTAGCAAAACAGAGCATGAAGGACGACTCAGAAAGAAGAGACGTCACGGGCTCAGGGCTGAGGCTGGGAAATGGCATGGCGTGTGTGTGTGTGTGTGTGTATGTGTGTGTGTGTGATTGTGTTTTCATATTAAGAAAGGGTAGGAGCAGGTATGGTTTGGGAGACTTTACTGAATGGCATGGGGACAGGCAAATTAACCTGAAGCAAGCTGGCAGCATCAATATTATCTGTGGATTTGGGGATTCAAAGGTTTGCTTAGACAACCTGGAAAGAAGGAAAAACTGACTCCTGTGCAGATAAATTTGACTTTAATGCATGTCTCAAACACATCTATTGGAGGTCTGTAGACACAGACGCTGACCCTTGGGAAGAAGAACCCAAGATCTGTAGAGACGATTTGGGTGACCTTTGTCCTCTGGGGACCCAGTCCAAGGCTTCTCAAGCTTTGACATCCATATGAATCGCTGGAGATCTTGTTATGAAGCAGATTCTGATTCAGTGGCTGAGGATTCTGCATTTCTAAACGCTCCCTGGTGATATCAATGCTGCTGGTCCATGAGCACACTCTGGTAGTGAGATCTGTGCACTGTTGCCTGTTTGATTGCCTGCCGATCTAGACAGACCACAGGGGTTCACTGCCTTCAGTAGCCATAGTGCTGAGACCAATGGAGAACCAAGCTTGGACCCCCATCCAGCAGGAGTCCAGGTCCAGGAGGGCTGGCTGCTGGCTTCACAGACCTAGGATTGAAGGGTGGAGTAGAGAGGAAGGAGGTAGACAGGGTAGATGGGGCTGACAGTTGCTCAGAAAATAGGCCCAGAAATCTCCTGTGACAGGAGTTAAGTACGATCCTAAGGGGCACAAGAAAAAGAAGCAGGAGGTCAAGCAAGGGCCCGGGCAGAACCTTGGAGTCCAAGCACTGATCACTGACTGTACCAGGGACGGTGCTCATTCTTTACATCGATGTCACCCAAAGCCCTTGCAGAGCAGATTGTAAATTCCTGCTAAAAGAGAAGGAAGCTGAAGTGCAGAGAAGTTCAGTAAATTGCCCGACCCCCTGCAGGCACACTGTGGAGCCACAATTCACACCCAGATCTGCATGGTCTGCTGTCCCTTGTAACAATGGCTGAGATCCCAGCTCTGTGCCTGGGCCTTAGGTGGGGTCTTCTGATATCTGGATCCAAAAGCAAGCGATGTCAGCCATGAATGAAGAAAGCGCTAGGCCAGGAGGAAGCAGGTGGAGGGAAGTCAGCATCTAACGGAGACCTGGTAACTGGAACTGGATCTCCGAGGACACAATAGCCTGGCTCTCCTGATCCTGAAGGAGGTCCGCCTCCACGTAGGCCAGCTAGGGGTCCCATAGGGCCTGCATGGTCTCAGCCCATGCAGAGATGGGCAACCTGGTTGGTGGGTATTTAAGGCTACCTTGGGTAGAAAGTTTGGCAGAAGTGGAATGTTTGCCTGAGGAAAAAAGATGGAGCGCTAAATGGGAAGAACCAGCATA